TTTGCCAAATCTTAAGACTTCATAAGAAGTGTTGGTATTGGAAAATGTGAAAAAAAGTGGTCTAGTTAAATTTCTTTCTTTCTTATATCTAGTTGTGCATGTGCAAATTAGCTGATGGTACGGATCGTGCTAATAGTACAGATCAGGTAGTGATTTTGCAGCCTCTACTTCCTGTTTATTACAGCCATGCGTGATGGCGTAATGTGGACAATCACGTAGGATGGCAATACGCTTTGCAGTGCTTGTTAATTAGCCTGAAACTAAATGGGAACATTGCAAATTTGAATTTGGAAAAAAAAACGCTTTCATATGTGAATGCAGTATATATGATTTATATATAAATAAATGCACCTTTTTTCTTCCTTTACACCTTCTTCTTCTTTGACTATTTAAGCTGATGTAACAAGTAAGTTTCTCTACTCTGAAATCAATAAAGCCAACCAATCAATCAATTAATCAATTTCCTTTTTTTTTTCAAACCGTGAAAATCTTGCTTAAAATTCCAGTTTAAGTTGAATGTTAACACAGATAACAGCACCTTATAAAACTATTAAATATATTTAATGCCACGTTTTCACTTATTTTCTGCTTTATGGTGTCAATTTTTTGTGTGTTAATATGCACAGCACTTTGGTCAACAATCTTTTCTTTTTAAATGTGCTTCGTAAATAAATGGATTTGAACTTTTGTCTGGAACGTTCAGACGGTAAGTCTGACACTGTGTCCAACTGACCACCCTACTCCTAAATCCCTTAATCACTATATAGAGCGGGGACTATATAGTGGACTTTGTAGTGCATTCTGTTAACTTACCATACAGACAAATGTTTACTACTTTTTGCTCACCATTAGTCATTTTTGCAATTTGTCACAGCTGTTGGATTGCAACAGTGGGCCGCTGTGACAACAAATCTATTAATGCTTTCTGAAGAGAGCTCTCCTTGCAAAGCATTCCGGGATATATCCGCTCATCCAGGATAATCACTACTTTTTAAGGTGCATTGTGGGAAATTTTGAGTTCACTACTTTTTCATCCACTAGACATTCGAACACTCATCTAAAAAGGCATAAAAACTTTATAGTGCCCTATATAGTGATTAGGGTGGACATTCAGACACAGCCTGAACCCTCTGGCTCAGAGGGGAAAGGAAGAGGGGAGGGAGTAGTGACAATGGAACAGCCAATGGAGCTGGTAGCGTCTCCTGACCAATAGAAGGTCAGCCTACCTCATTTGCATACTGAGATAAATGCATTTGGTAATTATAAATATAAGTCAGGCAAAAATTAAGAAGTACGTATGACAATAAAAAGTAAAAGAAATTCATGAAAAGTAAAAAAAAAAATGTATGGACAGAGAAAAAAAGCAATGATTCAAACAGTAGAATATGGTGAAAAACTAATATATTATAAATATACTCATCTCTTTTAATTATTTGTATTTTTCATGTATGTTTTGTTTTGTTATGTTTTGTTTTTAAAATTTGCATATTTGTACATTTATTCTAAATTATTTCAAAGTTAGTCTTCCACATAAATCAGCAACCAAACAATCAGGACAACACCCAGAAATTATAGCCTGCTGGTTTATGAATGTGTATCCATACAGAATTGAATGCTCATTAATCTTTGCTCTGCATTCTAAAACTACAGATTCAATTTCCCATCGTGAATGTGGTCACAAATCTACTCCACTGTTTAAGAGGAGCCATGCGAAACATCTGCAGGGAAGCGCTCCCGTTGATTAATCACTTGGCAGCTCTGGGCAAGGGTATGAAGGTTGAGTCCTATTTTCTTTCTGTTGGAACATGTCCTTAGGAAATGATTTGTTGTTTTTGGCCACATCCTGATCTAAATTTACAGGTGAACTGATTGGAACTCATTTGTAAATCATCTAGCACTGATGGAAAAGTTATTGTCAAAAAAGCAAAAAGTCAACTTAATTTATTTACACACATTAGAAAAGAAACTACTTATCTCTCTGTACTCTACATGAAATGTTTACATTATTGGCCATAAAACAAGATTTATCAATTAAGATAAATTCTTCTTATTTTGTAATTTGTATTTTTATCTATTTGCTTTTATTAGTAGAATTATGCATAAATGATGCACACCAAACGTATACCAATACATTTTTATTTTATTTAATATACACAAAGTCACATTTTCATGATAAATGAAGTACAAAATGTAAAGAAAACAAGAAAAAAGCATCAGATTCTTAAGAAACACACCTCCACCACAACATATACAGAAACATGTAAAAATATAGAATAGAATAGAATTCAACTTTATGGTCATTGCACTGTCACGAGTACAAAGCGACGAAATGTGGTTTGCATCTAACCAAAAGTGCTATAAAGGATTTTAATATTATTACAGGTGTATGTACAAGCAAAAGTAATAGTTACGGACTATAAAAGTTGTGTATAAATATAAATATAGATATAAATATGAATATGGGAGCTACATGCCCCGATTATACAGATTATACAGAAATAAATTTCTCTTAAACCCACCTGATTTTTTATATATATATATATATATATATATATATATATATATATATATATATATATATATATATAATCAGGTGGGTTGAAATTCACCAAATTTCTTAGCTTTTTCACTAAGTAATCACAAACTGCATGGTTTTAATGGGACATGGAAAGCTACATAAATCACAATTAATAGGTCTTTTGAAATGAGAGCTGGGAGCGTTTTTTATGAAATTCAATAAACCTTTTATAAGGCAAAGGAAGTGTATTTATATAACACATTTCTGTGGCAAGGAAACTCAGACTGCTGTACATGAGCTGGAGTGACATAGAGGCGATAAACTGTAGATACAGAAATAAGATGATTGTATGAAAAAAGGATCAAATGATTAAGAAAATGAAAGCATTGGAACCAAAGTTGGACTGGAAACCTAGCGAATAATTATTAGATAGCACAGTCAAAGCCATGAACAAATTCAGTTTTAATCTCAATTTAAAGAAACTAAGGGTTTAAGCACTTTTACATTTTTCTGGGAGTTTATTCCACATTAATGAATGTTAAGAACTAAATGCTGCTTCTTCATGTTGGAGTTCTGGGTATGATTATAGCCAGAAAACCTGGAAGGTCTGACGACAAGTCTGTGATGTATTTTGGTGATATAAGCCATTTTGTGATTTATAGACTAACAGCAGTATTTTAGTTTTTTATGTAAAAAATGTAAACAATGTCAGAATAAATCTGAATGGACAGTTGTGATATGGTAAAATAATGTTGCTGAGATCATTTCATAACCCCTTTTGGCCATAACCTACCATACTGACATGCCCCACTTTGACATCTGTTGGCGGTTGACACTGTGTTTGTGTTCTCTATCTGGGCCAGATTTGATTTGAGCAGTTTTGCAGGAACTGGATATGTTGATAACTCCGTTAGGAGCACGCACATAACGTCTGTCCACTCCACTCGCTCCGGTGCGCTCCCATGAACCCAGCATTGCTGGAGGAGCTTATTTTCTCCATAGAGTTAAAGGGAATCATGTTTGCGGCTATGAGAAAAAGTCGCCCTAAATCAGGCCCTGTCAAAGTAATAATGTTTGAAACTGTTATTGGTGCGATGCTATATCTCAAGTTAAATATTTAAAAGAAACCACTGTAACTGAAAGAAATAAAAAGAAAACTGAAGGACGATGAATATCTTACTGTTATGTTAATTCAATTCAGTTTCAATTCAGTTTATTTATATAGCACCAATTCACAACACATGTCATCTCAAGGCATTCAAAGTTTTCTATCTAAGGATAACCAGTTGATTGTATCGACTCATTGACTCGGATGCAATCCCTCACACTAAGCATGCTTGTTGCGACAGTGGAGAGGAAAAACTCCCTATTAACAGGAAGAAACCTCCAGCATGAAAAATTGTTGAACTGTTTTTCAAGAGTGCTAAGAGCACAAACCTAGTATGAATACCTGGAAATGTTTACACATTTTGTTTAAAAAAAAAAACAACAAAAATCCTCAAAGCGAAAGTCCACTCGAAGCAGGAAAATTACAAAAATGAGAACAGCAACTGACTATTGCTAGAAGTGATGGTTCTACTAAGGGCATGCACTTCTTTTTTTCAGCCATATATGGTTTAACTCAGTGTAGTCAATTTACATGTTTAATAAAGAGTGTCTTTCTCAATAAATGTTGTTGGTTTCCAAATAAAAATGAAATGTATGATTCTTGATGTTTTAGGAAATCATAGTTTTGGGTTTCTTTACTTAGGAAATAGTTAAAATTACATAACCATATGCAGCCGTCAACACAGCAATCTTATCACATTGTTTATTGAAAGAAACGGATTTAACTAAACTTAAAAAAACAAAAACAAACAAACAAAAAAAAAACATTGGAATGAAAATCCCTCCACAAAGGGATTTAGCTGAATTTGCGTGACAGCATCCATCCTTGTTTTTCTTTTTTAAAAGCTTTGGAATAGACACTCTTAAAGGATGCAATCATTGAGAAAAAGTGTCAAATATTTTCTCCTATTACTGGCTCTGAATGCCAACCAACATACACTGCAAAAAAACATATTGAAATAAGTAAAAAAAAAAAAAAATAAATTGAGTGTATATACCCTTAATTTTAGCAGATAAATAAGATGATTTGCCAATGGAATGAGTATTTTTACTCCTAAAATAAGATAATTAGATAATATGCACTTGAAATAAGATAATGCAATGGTGTTTTCTTATTTTAGATGTAAACTGTCTTGTTCCATTCGCAAAGTATCTCACTTACCTCCTCAATTCAAGGAAAAATTTACTTAATTTAAGCAAAAATTACTCATTTAGATTTCCATTTTTTTGCTGTGTACAAGCAAAAATAGTTTAAAATAGACAAGCTCCTGCCAGTTTAAGACATACAGTAGGTGCGCAGTGACTTGAAATGAGGCCATTGGCTGTTGGCTGTTCTGATGCGTCCCTGGTGTCTGAATGAGGTTTCTCCTTCAGCTGCTTTCACTGTGCTGAGGCGCAGATTTGCAGCAGTAGCAGCAGCAGCGGGTCAACTTTAAAGATCACAGTCAGGAGAAACAGGGATGCGTCTGTTTTAGGCTGACATTGGATGTTTGCACCGAGGAAGTCACTTTATAAGAGCACCACACAAACCTGCACACATCTCTCAAAGGGCGTGGGAATGTACTGCAAGGAAGGATACGAGAAAGTCATCCTCCTCATCTTTTACATCCAGCTGTGTTCCAAGCCCATGGTGAGTATTTTTTTTATTTTGCTCTTTTTATTTGCGCAAAAAGGAAAAAAAGGCGCGTAAAACCCCCTCAAAGTCTAGCAGAAGTTGCTCCTTTGAGATCTTGGAACAATCTCTCTTATTTCCAATGGGATTATTTGCCTTATTTGGTTATCCTTTTTTTCCTGAGCTGTCCTCCTGATTTTCCTTGCGGCTCTGTCACAGTTGGGCTGATATTATTACGCAGCTGCGTGGCTCTCATTATCGCTTTCCTATCCACCTGCATCCATCAACTGCACCCTCAATCAAATCAGCAGTCAGAATGGATGAGGACATTAATGAGAGGTCCAACAGCGCACAGGTTTACGCATGACTTTTCAGCCCAGATTCAGCCCAGATTCCTTTTCGTAAAGCTGTTAATCCCAGAATGTTAATGTCAGATTGTTCCCTAAGACTATAGTAGAGTATATCGTTTTTTAAAAGTATCATAAAGCTGTTTGATTGGGACATTATTTCTCAAACTTTTCCCTTTTTCATGGGTTCCAACTATCGCCTCAGCCTAACGCGTTATAAATTGAGAACCAGAAAAGCATGTATCTGCGTCCCCATAGTTAAACTGGGAATTGTGTCTAATTTTCAGGGTGAAGCGATTCATCCGGACTGCGCCATCATCTCTCAGCACCTGAGGGCTCGGGAGATTTGCAGCCAGACGAGGAGGAGCGAAGCGCAAAACCGGAGCGATCACAGCGGTGGGTTCCGGTGTGATGTGCTCCACTGGAGCTTGGAGACATGATTTCTATCAAAAGTATCAATTCTCGCCTGGATCAAGGAGTTTGAGGTTGCAGACAGCAAAGTAGGAGAGCAAACTAGCTGAGGAGGAAAACATTCAAAACTTCATGCACTGAAAAAAATACAAATGCTTTTGGCATTTACTTAATCATATTTAGTTACTTTAACACAATGGTTTTATTTCCTACCCTGCTAATATGAAACCATTGTGTTAAAGTAACTAAATATGATTAAGTAAAGTAGACCTTCTTGGAAAAACAAAATATATACATAATAATGATTCAGTTTTTTTTTTTTTTTGTCTGTGTGTTTTATTAAGTTTTGCAGCTTCACTAGGTGCATCTGGAGAAATCAATTTGCCCATTTTAAATTCCTGCAATTGAATAAAACAATACAGATCTCGTTTGCCTTCCTTTAATCACTTTTAAAAGTTTTAAATCACCAAAATTGATAACAAAAATTAATTTGGGTAAGTACACAAAGCAGTATAGCATGGATAAGGGGTAGTCAAACCAAGCATGCCCTATATGTAAAAGTAATCACCCACTTAAAAAAGAAATCATGCATTTAATTAATTAGCTTAGTTAATTTACTGTCTTAGACTAAGTAAAAATTGCATCCATGTTCCAGAACGAAACAGCAAGAATAATGATCCTTTTGAAGTTTGGGGCAATATAATGCGGACTGATAGGATAAAAGTGGAACCTTCTGGAATTTACTGCAAAATCTGGTTTAAAATTAACAACATTGTTCTGAAAAAATAACACATTGGATTTGGAGTGGATTAGACATGACTCCTGCTCTGTATTTAGTAGATTTATAGTCAAATGATTGCTGCCCCTGCAGCTTCATTGACTGCAGCAAAAATTAGCTCACTTGATCCTCAGACAAATAATTTAACTGTTTTCTCTTGCATATAGAAATCATATGAGCATTTACAGTACTAACCAAAAAAATAAATAAAATAAAAGACAGACAGCAAGTCTTCAAAAGTTTCTTTCTTGATAAAGAAACAAAAGGTGATACATCACTGTAAAGTGGAAAGAAAAGAAAATTTGTGGGTGATGTGGATTTGTGTTTATTCTACCGTGTAGAATCACCTTCCACTTCAATTACAGCTGAAAGTCTATTAGGATATGAAACGACCAGATTTGCTAAAATAAAAATGGAAAATTCTACCCATTTCATTTTGGAAAATAGCCCTTTCAGATTGGATGAAGCATCTGCTAATATCAGTAAGTCTGGACTTACACATGCTTTGACCATTTTTGCTCTGGGTAAATGTTTTAAGTTGGCTTCATATTGGAATATCAACCTCCACACAAATTGAGTGCCTTTTTAAAGCTCCAATATAATTTTTTTGGTAGCTGCCTCCAACTATCTTACCAACTCCTGCCAGAAAAGTGCCCCACATGGGACTCCTGGTCCTTTCATGTTTCAAATTAATCATGTTGATTACACTTTTTATTAATTGGATCCCCCCAGAAATTGTATAATTTTAAAAAGACCTAAACATGTCAAACACCACAATGTCTTCATATTTCAGCTAGGCACTAGATCATTGAGTGTTGAGAGTTCAATCTATAAGTAGGTAAATAGCAGACTGCACTTCTTCATGTTTGTTAAAGACTCAGATGCAGAGAGGGAAAGGCAGAGATGATATCCTGCAGATTTTATGAATATGTTGATAGTGTAGAAGCAAATAATCCAGAAACAACAGGCAAGTAACTCAGGAATCAAACACTAGGAGATGCTCAGGGAAACTCACATAAGGAATAAAGTGATGAAGAGAATCCAGCAATGAGGCACAGGAGGTGTATATATGGGAGACAGAACAAAGACTGGGCTAATCAGCTGACAGGGAGCAAATGTAGATGGAAGTATGTAGAAGAGAGCTAGTGGATAGAAGACTGTCACAAGGGGGTAATTCGAAAAATACAACACGACTTAAATATAACTAGAAAACAACTAGAATGACAAAATGGAAATGAAAACAATGACCAAGAAAACACAGAATTATATAAATCAAAGTGTAACTGAAAAATCAAAAAGAAACTTAACCAGAAGTCCACAAAGGGTAAAATCATGACAGAAACTTATAGGTTCTTCACCGTTTGCAACAAAATTCTGCATATCTTTTATAAGTCTGTCATGAAAAGAGTGATCTGCTACCATGTACCGAGTGTCTTCAGTGAAAGGCTTTCCCTAAACTATACAGCTTCTAACATTTATAACAACTCGTTGAAAAACAGATAATGAGTACCTACAACGTTTAGTTTCCCTTTAGGATCAATAAAGTATTTCTAAATTGAATAGAATTGAATTTAATTAAATTTTTTTAGTAATAGCATTATGATAGATTTCGGTAAAAAAAAAAAAAAAAATACAGTGTGGTTTATTTAATTTAGATTGAGTGTATGAAATGTGGTAAAATAGAACTTTGAAGACCAGGTGTCTTCCTCTATTATATAGAACTTATATAGTCATAAACATGAACTTAAGACTAAAGTCTTAATCACAAACTAAATAAACAACTATATATTAAAGTTATTATAAAACAGGGTTGAATTCCCTCTAAAATATATTGCAACTATATACATATTTTTTTTAAATGTTGCGATGCAGTGTGACAATAATTCAGTTTTCTCTACCATATTAGTTCTTACTTTTTTGGTGATGTATGCTGTGCTGATGATGTTTGGAAAGGCACTCAGGTGTTAAAGCGTTGCCATAAAGGTGACATTTGTGGCTCATGCATGGAGGCCTTAATAGAGGTTCAAGGCCTAGCCTGTTGTCTCGCATGCATGTCTCCCCCCTCTCCATCAACTCCATTTCCTGTCAGTCAAATACGAACTAAAGGCTACTAAAAAAGGCTGGATTTTAGATTAGGCTTAGTAAGTGGGTTTTCATTTCTCTGACTTTAGGAAATTTTATCTTTTTTTACTATGTTATCTTTGTCTGAGAAAATCTCTCCTGATTATGAATAACTTTTACTTTTAATCCGAAATAAGGTGACATTCAAGTGAGAAATGTGCCTCCCTGCAGCTGCCTGTTTATCAAAGTCGCAGCACATAATCCTGCTTAGGGGAGAGGAGAAACAATTTCTAAAACAAAAACAACAAAAAAAATGTTTTGTTGTGAACCCGAATCGGCCTTGTCAGTCACTTTTTGAACTCTGACAGCTTGATGCAGCTCCAACTTTCCGCAGCCAGTAATTAAAAACAAAGAAGCCAATCCCAGGGAAACTATGGATTTTTATAATTCATGGTTTTGGATGCTCCTGCTTTGTCGTGTGGATAAATGCTCAGAAATGCTTCTGTTGGATCATATAATTGGGCCTCTGTCTCTTGGTGACTCTAATCTGCATCTAAAAATGACTTCTTTTCACGTTCAGTGCTTTCCAGTTTTCATATCTCTCTCTGTATGAGTGTCTTCTATAGAACTGAGTCTATACATACTGATGGAATCCTCCAAAACTGGATATTTTACATCCTTAATTTGAACTTTGAGTCAACCTAGCCTACCAGCTTCCAAAATAAGAAACAATATTGAAATAAACATAACCCTTCCTGAATTAAACATGGCTTCATTCTCCTTCAATTATTTAAGAAACCAGGACAAATCCTGCTGGGTATTCTGTCAGTGTAAGTATTGTTATGGTTTTACAGTATTGTTAAAATCAAGACCTTCTACTCTGAAAGCAAGCCAAATATTCAAAGCTGAATTTTAGAGAAAATGAATGCTACCGTTGTTTTGGTTGTTGCCCCTTAACCTTCGTTTCAAAGCCAACAATTTTTGTTGTGTAGCTGGGACCTAAGGGGTTAGCTTCCAAGCCCTTAAAAAGTGAATTTCTTCTAGTTGAGAGCATAAAAAAAGTGTGAAAATAGCAAAATTATCATATTTATGAATTAATATCTTACGTCTCAACAACCATTCAAATGCAGCATGCCTGCATGTATTTTAGCTGATAGAATTTCAAGTTGTGCCCAATGAGCAACTAAAAGAGGATGAAAAATAAGATTTTATTTCAATTTCAATGTTGTTGCAGCCAGAAAAAACTAGCAAAAATATATGTTTCTCAGTTAGAAAATAAAAGTGAATAAAGTAATTATTCAAAAGAAGGGAGACTAATTTCATACTTATTATAACACAGCTGTATTCTTCAGATATTTATTTGTTTTATCTTGATGATTATAGCTTACAGCTTCTGAAAGAATCACATATAATTGATCTGAAAATAGAAAAATAGAATATTACGTATGACATAAAAAGGGTTAGCAGACAGTCAGTGAGGGTAGGCATTAAAATCTAATTGCCAAAGCAATTGGATTTTCACAGAATGGTTCAAGCATGTTGATGGAAAGTTGGCTTAAAAAGGCACATTCAGTGGTTTGAGACAGTTTCACAGGAAATAGACTGCAGATAGATGTGAGCTTATAGAGACACCACATAGCATTATCCAGGACATGGGCAAACACTGCAATGTTCTTTTGTTAACTCACTCCTGAAACCAAATTGTAATATGTGTCTTAACTGGGCCAAGGACACAAGGACTGGAATACTGCTAAATTAACACATCTCCTCTTTTCAGATGATGGTAAATATTTCTTTTCTCTGGGAAATCAAGCTGACAGGCTGTTTGAGATCCATTTCAAAGATGTAGTTATTAAATGTGTTGGTAAATGGTGATTATGGGAAATGATCCAGACCAGCCAAATCAGATCAGATCCCAATCTTAGGTTCAAAGTCCCTCCTTAGTCACCCACCAGGATGCTGAAAAAAACTTGTTCTTCTTAGCTGTGTGGCATTTGCAATATACAGTTGAGTAAATAAATATACTTAAGTTGTGTTAACATATTGTTATTATTTTTTATTTGACATTTTACAATAGCATAACAACAATTTTAGGGAAACTAATTTATATAAATAGCTACTTGAAATGTATCACTTTGTGAGTAAT